CTAATTGGTTGTATAAATTAATTTGTATGATTAATTTGAGAAAATGATGGTCATATGGAATTGAGTTGGGAATAATGAAATTGACTCATTATATGGTTGAATAGTGGAGTCGGATTTATAAATCGTTCACTTTTGAAAACATTGATATTTTATCTGTTGGAGCTTTTATTATCTGTTTAGAAATAATTGCTTGGGCTACCGGTGGAGGGTAGTTTTGATTGTTGTAGACAATGCATGATGATTAGGCAAACTAAAACTAATCAAGTGGATATGTCATAGAGTATGACGGTTGACAGAATACATTAACGTTATGTATTGATTGATTGCGTATATGACCTTTGTGTATATATGTTGTGTGTGTGGGAGGAGATAGGGGATGTACTCCACGGTTTAGGGGAAGATGGGATGGTAGAGTACCTCTAAACCGGTTTAATGGCTTTAGGGGAAGATGGGGGATGTACCTCTAAACCGGTTGTTGGACATGTTGATATAGCTCATATGCTTATCGGTTGAAGTGTTGATACAGCTCATATGCTTGTCGGATAAAGTGCAGATACAGCTCATATGCTTATCTATTGAAGTGCAGATACAACTAATATGCTTATTTGTTGATGTATTGACACAGCTTGTATGGTTATCTGTTGATGTATTGATATAGCTAGTATGCTTATCTATTGCGAAATGTAAATGCTTAATATGAGTTTTTGTCTCATATAAGCGGTTGGCCAGGTTCTGAGCCGTTGATGTAAATTGTGAAACTGATAAGAAATGGAAACTGAAGTGAAATGGAAATGGGTTATGAATTGGTTTATGAAAACTGAACATTTATAAATTGCTAATATCTTAGTCATTGCTCATACTATGTTTAGCATATCTCTACTGGGCGTTGGCTCACCCTTTATGGGACATTATTTCCAGGTACAGGTAGTATGCCACCTCCAAGGACATAGCTTGGATGATGATGAGAGTTGAAGACTCTTTTTGTTTATAGATTTAAAGACTCTTCAAAGGCCATATAAAGTGCTTTGACTATAAAAGAGTATGAAGAAGGATGCTTCCAGATCAATGAATCCTTAAATCTATCTCTAGGATGAACAGACTGTTGCAGACAATAAATTAGATCAAAATGAAGTTCTCCCTCTCAGGTTCTTAAGTTTCTCCTATATTCAATGGTCTATACAAGTTGGTAGGAGTTAGATGTTGTTTTGGAGTAGTGTCAAATATAGGAGTCTTTATCTACAACAAGAGAGTAAAGTCTTGGATAAACATTGGGTAAATGAGAATTTGTAAGCCATACATCTTTCCAGAACTTTAATCTAACTCCAACACCAAGTTTGAGACAAGTGTAGGCCATGAATTGATTGAAAACCCAAGAGTTAATTCTGTCCAATGAAACAGTGTTTCTCCAAATAACAGAGCAAGTTCCCCATCCAGGTAAACATGGTAACCAAGTAGATTGATCCATATTAATTTTTGCACAAATAACCCTTCTCTAAAGTGCATTGTCTTCGGTTGCAAATCTCCACCACCACTTGCAAAGAAGCGATTCATTAAACTTGATGGTTTTCCGAAAGCCTAAGCCCTTGATTTTTTTACTTATTGAGCATGTCTCCCAATTTAATAAGTGTACCTTCTTCTTCTTATTGACATCCCCATACATTATAAACTCAATTTAAAGTTTATTAATTTAAATTTTTCTTATTTATTTATTTGTAATCTCAATATACTTTTCACATATCTCAAAACACGTTTACACATTTCAATACATTTTTTCAACACTGCACGTTTGGTATGATGTGATGGACTGGAATGAAATGTCAATTCTAGCTTTGCATTGCCTTTCACTTGTTTGGTAGGACTTATCTAAGTGTGGGATAGTCATTCCAATGGGATGAATATTTCAACAAAATGTAGAAATGCCCATTCCTTTCTCAAGCCTAAGGAATTCAATTCCATCATAGAATCACCATAAAATATTACCATTTAGCGACTACCACCATTCCCTTCTACTACCACCCTTTCCACCATCCTATCACCACCACTACCACCGCTAATGCTACCATCATCATTATCATCACCACAACTACCATTGCCACAACTACAATCACCACATCACCACCATTACCACAACATCACCAACACTGCTGCCAGAACAACTATAACTTTATTACCACCACTGCTACAACCACTACCACTACCTCCACAACCACTACACCACTACTACCATTACCGCAACAACCACTACCACGATCTCTACAACTACAAAACCACCACCACCACCATCGTTAGAACCACTACTCTACAACCACTACTCCCACCATTATCACTACCTCCGTCGCTACAACCACTACCTTACCACCATTACTACCATTTTCACAAAAACCATACCACTACCACCACCGCTGCCGCCATAACTACCACCACCACAAATGCACATCAATCTACCACTACCATAACTATTATTTTACTATAACTGCTATCAGTACCATCGATGCTGCCACCACCACCACCATCACTACTACCACGACTCACACCATCACTGCCACAAATATTAACACTCATGATCTTTGTAAATTTTTAACTTGTTTGTTACTAGCCTCTTAAAAAGAAAAATAAAAAAATAAAAACTTATTCCATTCCAATAGTTTAATAGGCATAACGAAACATGACCTCCAGTCATCAATTACCACTAGCGATTGTTTTCTAATCGTCGGTCACCAACAACTTTCTAACTAACACTTTCTGCCGTGAATCTTGAATGATCATTTTTTTATGACGACGAGAACTAGCACCATCACAACCACCATTTAGCAAATAACGATTTTTTTCTTCCAAATTTACTATTATGTAGGCAGTAAAACTTTAGTCTAATGTGATAGTAAAATTTTATTGTATGAATTTAATATTAAACAGTAAATTTTCAACATTACCATCATTAACCACAATACTTACTATAATTTTACAATTATTACTAGAAATATTAAATGAAAAATTTATCAAAACATTGAATGAATAATGTTAACAGATTAAAAGTTTACTATAGTAAACATTAAAATTTTATTGTTTGCTATTGAGAGAGAATGGACAACTCTAGCAGTCTTCTTCTGACAAATTTGATATTCTCAATCTCAAATCTAAGGTTTTTGATCTAAGATCGTTGTTCTCAAATTTGAATTCGTCAATATCGGATCTAAGATGCTGGAGGTTGATGGTAAAGATGGTAGTTAGCAATGATAGATTTGAGGTGCTGGCGAATAGTGGAAACGATGAATGCTAGCGACATACAATACAGATGGTGGAGATGATGTTGTGCAGTCTTCAATGGCTAGATATTATGTGTGTGTGCGCGCGCGTATAAGAGAGAGAGAGAGAAAGAGAGAGAGAGAGAGAGAGAGAGAGAGAGAATAAAGAAAAGGAAAGAGAAAAAGAAAGAGAAAAAAAATGAGAATATTGTAGAAGAAAGGGGTAAAATGTTGAAGATGTCTTTTTCGCAATAAGAAATATAAGTAAAGGACTTAAGACATTAAAATCTTTTAGCGTAAATTTCTCAGAAGATGTAATTTATTTGTAGAATTTTTGGTTCAAAATCTTTAGTTTTACTAAGAATGGGACAAGTCTTACTTGATTACTAAATGAAATTTGTTTACTAACAGACAGTGGGATCCACAAGATGGAACATACACACAAGTCTCGCTTTAATATTTGGGTGAATTGTGTATTAGTGGGACAGATTAAAAGAGAGAAATTTACTCAAAAGTCTTGTTTCAAAAACATATGTATCAAAAATTTATATGATTTTTTTTTTAAAGCTACATAAGTCCTATTTACTTAGGAAGTTATTTTATCAGATCCTTTATACCCTTATTTATTATTCATAATCTTATATGTTTGGAATTACTGTTATTATATGATTATCCATAGTATTTACATTTGATTTTAATGTGAGATTACTCATATTACCGTATATCTTTTGAAACTTTTTTTTTTTTAAATGTGTCATTCAATTCTAATGTGAAATTGCTCCATATTGGGGAAATTTTGATGTGAAGTTTGAGTGATTATGGTGTGAGATTACTCATATTACCACAGTATGTATATTAATATCTTATTAAAATTTTTCTAAATGTTATTCAATTAAACGACAAGAATTAATATTTATCACCATGTCATATTTGAGAGATTTTGATGTGAGATTACCCATATCACCATAGTATGTTTACTAATACCTTATTAATTTTTTTTCAAATGTATGATTCATTAAATGGCAAACACTACGGACAGATGGTTACCACCTAATATTTGAAATTTTGTGGTAATTGTGTCATTTTACATAGAAAAGGACTTATGTGATCATAAGAATATTTATAGGAAATAGTCCATAAGTTACGGATATAAGATTTATTAGTAAATGTCTCGGTGGTACTGCTTAGGTCCAAAAATTAGACCCAATTGTGACAGTTTATTAGAATATATAAGACTACTCTCTATCTCTATCATATCTTCTCTAATTATCAGTCAATCATTTCATTTACAGATATTTGATTCTAAAAAGTGAATTTAGAAAATGAACTTGTATATCATTTGCTTAAAAGAAAGTGTACCGTAAAAAAAAAATTAGATGCAAGTTTCACACATAAAAAAAGACATACATCAAATAGAAGACATACTTGCCCTAAAAAAAATGACTTATTATTTATTTTTTTATTATCTAACTGATTTGAAATTTCCAATTATGTAATCGACATTTAATTTTAAATTCACAATTTATTATTGTTATTATTCATTTACTCTTAGATGCAAAATGATAGAATTTACATCAGAAAAATGATATATAAGTCCATTTTTTAGATATACTTTTTAGATTCAGTGATATGTCAACAAGATCGTTGATAAGCAAGATAAAAAAATAGAGTAAAAAGGTAGATGGAAATATGATGATGGTCTTTTACAATGCCATGATTTTTATCTCCAAATGGCCTTTGAATGCGTCTTGCATGCAGGTTAATCTCCATGTGCCGAAACCGTTAAATGAAGAAGCATTAGAAGGCCCAGATAGCTTAGTTTAGCACGAGTACCCTTTTGTTCAAAGACTGCTAGAGGGAGGACGGACACCGTCAACAGATGAAATATAGCTGAAAATAGCTGATTAAACGAAGGATTCAATTAATTGAAATTCGTCTAGTCTCCGATACAAGTTTAAAAGGACGACATTTGATGAAATGGGTGATCCCGGTGTAAGTACCATTGCTTTCTACTTGGTTTATGAACTTTGGTGAATAAAGTTATTTATTTATTTTTCCTACTGCTCATTCATCAGTTGAACGAATTTGTGAACCCACTATGTTTTGCAGCATTACCTTAGAAGTAGCTTGCAAGAAACTAAATCAAATTGCGATGGCAAGAAACTAATAATGTAAAAAGTAATGCTAAATTTTCTCCTCTCTTTTTTGTTATTGTCTGGAACAAGGGTACATATGAGCGCGGATCTGTGCCTGGAAATATGTTAATAATAAGACATACTACAGCTCATACATCTCAAACAAATCCTCGAGGTACATACACTATCTTTGCACCAAACATTATTTTGATCCCTACACATTAAATTGAGACAGTCAACCCATTGCACTTTTGGTCAAGTGTCAATGTCTCTCTCCTATTACTCCATTGTTGAAGTTTTTAACAAAATCTAGTCATGTGATAAACACATGACTATGAAATAAGGGCAAAAGAGGGAAAACACCTCTATTTCCTTTATAAACATTTCATTTCAAAATTTACATCAAATTATGATTGTATTCGGGTAAAACAAAATGCAAATTGTGAATGATTAAAGAGATAAACTAGGGTTTTATAGAAATTAAAATCACGAAATTTTGTTTTTCACAATAGTCTTCTATTTATTCCTTTCCATTTTTTCGAATTTTCTATTTCAAAAACTCTATTTTCTTACCTCTTTTTTTCTATTTTCAGTATATGAACATATAAATATATAAATATATATATATATAACTCTTGCATGCTTAGCATGTGAGACAAAGTGTGTATCGGTGGAAAATAAGAATGATTTTTCTCTCTTACTCTTATTTCATAGTCATGTGCTTATCACATGATTTGATTCTGTTAAGAAATTAAACAATGGAGTAACATAAGGAAGACATAAACACTTGGCCAAAAGTGTATGGTGTAGCGCTCGACTTTCTTCGCGCGCCTCTCTTTCGGAAAGGCGCAAATTGGTCCTACAGTTCAGACTCCTATCACGGTTCTGAATCTAATCTCACAAAGTGAAATGTGAGATTGATAAACACCAAAGAGTCCAATCCAGCAAATCATTTTGGAAAATTAGATTTTAAATCAAATATTGTCAAAATTGGACTGCTTTGCCAGATTATAGAGTCGCCACTTAAATATTTTATTTTGAGAAATTTAGGAAATCCTGACTCGTGCCAAAGGCCACGTGTCCATTATCACCAAAGTTGCCTCAACTCGGGAACTTGGGTACGAGAGGGGAAGGTCCTGAAATGAGCACCCCCGCTCGCCCAATCAAAGATCGGCCTCTACTAAGCATGATATGTTATTTTATAAACACATGTGTTCTTATTCTGATTATTAGCTAATTTTACTATGTGACGCTCAAATAGAGAAAAAAAAAAAAAAAAAGAAAAAAAAAAAAGAAAAAAAAAAAGACGACCTATAAAAAAAAGGAGCTTCTATATTATATATATATATATAATATAAAGTAACCCAACCAATACGGAAATAATTTTTTATTTTAAATATAAATATTTTTTAAAATAAAATAGTGAAATTAGCCTTGCCGATACTTTGAATCAGAAAACAGTGGGCCATCTGTAGGCAAGATAATGACCTGAAAGGGCTCATCAGGTAGTTATTATCTTCTTCTTCTTTTATTATTTATTTTTTATTCATAACAGGTAGCTAATATCAGGGATTCTTGAGAGAAGTATAATTAATGTAAAGATAAATTCATTTCTTTACGTTTGTGTTTGGCTAAAGTTTTAAAAAAAGAGATAAAAAAAATATACTAAAAGTTGTAAAATATAAATATATTTTATTCTATATTTTACTTATCTTTTTTCTGTTTAATTTTTTAAAATCACTCAACCAAATACTTTCTTCAACTCTAATTTTTTGTTGTTGCTTCTATTATCAAACTTTGACTGAACAACACTCATGGTGCACTTTTGTTGCAATCATTTTTATAAGGATTATCCAAATAGACACAGTTTACCTATGCAACACGTGGCTGCTGTGCATCCCTACATACATCCATTCCAAATTCATAAAATTCAATTTCTCTTTGAGAATTCTTCTTCTTTTTTTTCTTTTTTTTTTTTGTAGATGCAGGTTTGTAATCCTAGATCAGAGATATTTTTTGGCCTATTGAAATGATATCTAATTTCGTGTGTAATTCTGTTTCTAACAAGTCCTATATAATATTGAGAAAAATAGATAGGCAAATAGCATAAAACTGCAGCCATGTTTCAACATTTTGAATGTAGTTGAATAAGAACAAGAAATTTGGTTGTGCTTAAGCGAGCAACATGATAGTATTAGAATTGAAATATTGCGATTGGGAGTGAAACATCAGATGCTATATTTGTAAGGGTAAATGCAACTTTGTAGCAAATTTCATTTTGATCCCCTACATATCGAATTATAGTAGCAAAGCCATGCACTTCTAGTCAATGTGTTATGTCTTCCTTAGTTACTCCATTGTTTAATTTCTAACAGAATCAAAATAATGTGACAAGCACTATGACTATTGAAATGAGAGTAAGAAAAAAAATCATTTTCTATTTTCCACCGATACACACATTTTGTCTCACATGTTAAGCATGCGAGAGTATACTATATATATATATTGTTCATATACTAAAAATAAAAGATAAAGGAGGTAAGAAAATATATTTTTGAAATAGCAATTCGAAAAAATTGAAAAGGAATAAATGAAGACTAATTGTGAAAACAAAATTCATGATTCCAATTTTTAAAACCCTAGTTTATCTCCTAATCATTCACAATTTGCATTTTGTTTTAGCTGAATACGATCATAATTGATGTAAATTATTGAATGAAATCCCTCTTATTAAAGGAAAATGGAGGTGCTTTTATCTCTTTTTGGCCTTATTTCATAGTCATATGTTTGTCACATGACTAGATCCGTTTTTTTCTTTTGTTAAAACTCAACAAGGAGTAACAGGAGAGAGATTGACACTTCACAAAAGTTGTAATGGGTTGACTGTCACATTTAATGTGTAGAGATCAAAATAATGTTTGGTGCACAGATAGATATGTTCCGTCGAGGATTTGTTTTGAGAGTAGAAGCCTGTAGTAGGTTTCGTCTTATTATTAACATATTTCCAGACACAAATCCCAGCCCATAATGTATCTTGTTCAGACATTACCAAAAAAGAGAGGAAAAAATTAGCATTACTTTTACATTATTAGTTTCTTGCCATCAGCAATTTGATTTAGTTTTCCTTGCAAGCACTTTCCTAAGCTAATGCTGCAAAACATAGTGGTTCACAAATTCGTTCAAACTGATGAATGAAAAAGCAGTAGGAAAATAAATAAATAACTTATTTCACCAAAGTTCGATAAACAGCAAGTAAAAGCAATGGGACTTACATTAGGCACACCACATTCTCAAATGTTCGTCCTTTTAAACTTGTACGGGACTAGATGGAATTTCAATTATTGAATCCAAAGTTCAATTAATTGAAGTCCGTCGTTTTAATCAGCAATTTTCAAGCTATATTTCATCTGTTGACGTGTTCGTCCTCCTCTGCAATCTTTGAACAAAGGGTACTCGTGCTAAAGCTAACTACTGGCCTCTAATGCTTCTTCATTTACGTTTCGGCACCATGGAGATTAACCCTGCATGCAAGACGCATTCAAAGGTCATTTGGAGATAAAATATCATGGCATTGTAAAAGACCATCTCACATTTCCATCTACTTTTTTGGCCTATTTTTTCCATCTTCTACATACCAATCATCTTCTTGACACATCATGAATTTATTAAAGTATGTTAAAAGTTGACTTGTATACTCATTTCTTAATATAAATTTCTATCATTTGCATCTAAGAGTAAATGAATAATAACAATAATAAATAGAGAATTTAAATTAAATGTCGATTTACATAATTGGGAAATTTCAAATCAGTTAGATAATAAAAAATAAATAATTAAGTCATTTTTTTAGGCAAGTATGTCTTTCTATTGATGTATGTCTTTTTTTATGTGTGAAACTTGCATCTATATTTTTTTTACGGTACACTCTTCTTTTAAGGCAAATGATATACGAAGTTCACTTTCTAAATTCACTTTTTAGAATCAAATATCTGTAAATGAAAATGATTGACTGATAATTAGAGAAGATATGTAGAGATAGAGAGTAGTCTTTATATATATTCTAATAAACTTCCCAATTGGTCTAATTTTGGACCTAAGCAGTACCACGAGACATTTACTAAATAAATCTATATCCGTAACTTATGGACTATTTCCTATTAATTTCTTATGATCACATAAGTCCCTTTTCTATGTAAAATGACACAATATTCCACAAAATTCTCAATATTAGGTTGGTAACCAATCGTTCCGTAGTGTTTGCCATTTAATGAATCATACATTTGAAAAAAATTTAATAAGGTATTAGTTAACATACTATGGTGATATAGGGTAATCTC